GGGTTGGGTGCTGGAGGGCAGTGCGTGCGGGTCGTGAAGCGGTTGGGCTGCCCGAGCAGGCCTCCCGCCTCTCCCCGGGCCTCCCCTCCCCAGGCCTGGCCGAGGGGCCATCGCTGAGCGACCGACCAGTAGCTAGGTGGGGAGAGTAGGTTTGGAGCCGGGAAACTGGGTGCCGCCCCGAGGGCAGGGCAGAGCCGCGCAGTGGTAAAGCGTTAGGGTTGGCAGCGTAACGAATTTAGCGGGAGCGAGGAGAGGTTTGGGACTGTGAAACACCTGTGAGCTGAGGGAAAGCCAGCACTAGCTCTATATCCCTCGTACAGGGTGATGTTTCCACGGATTACCATTGCACCATGCTTTATTTTTTTTCTGTTTTAAGTTGGCATTGCTTTCAAAGAAAGATTTTTCTTCAGTCATGTCAGTGTTCCACAGAGCAGTAGCGTTTTGGCTCTGAGGCTCGTTTGTGTGACAGTGGAATTTCTTTGATACGGAGACATGTATGTATTTTTTTTTTTCTTTCCTAGTTTGTTTTGTACTCTCTTATGGAAGAGTTTTAAAGAGGGAAGTGGAACCTGACAGTTCATGACAGTTACTCAAATATGTAACTAGTTCCATTTGTTCACTTATCTTTCATGACAGTTACTCAAATATGTAACTAGTTCCATTTGTTCACTTATCTTTCAGCCCCTCTGTGCACACTATCAAATGAGAAGGACCATTCAAAGTCAAATGTCCATGTTCAGCTTGTCGGTGACAAAGTGGTAGGTGTTGGCCAAAGGTAGCTCACATGTGCACCTTATATTTCTCTGTGTGTGCGTACATATGGGTAGAAACTCTGTCTCAGTTCTAAGCTGCTCCCTTAAAATGGCAAAATACAAAGCAAAGGAAGCAGTTTTATCTAAAACAAGACTTAACAAGGGGAGTAACCATGATTGCTGGCCTAGGGTGACTCTGTAGCAGCAACTTAGAAATGCCCAGTTTCATGTCTTGCCTAATTTCCTAAATTGTGTGTCAGTATTTTTAATAGAATATCTCCAAATGCTGTTAACAATAGCTTGTATATGTTACTGAGATCTAATAAAACAACTGGACAGTTGTTGGGCTGTTTTTCAAGCAAAGCTGTTAAAATGTGTTATTTCACCTGGTGCCTCCTCGCTTACCTTGGGATATACTTACACTACAGCTCAAGGCAGCACACTTAGACAGTTTAAAATGAACTACATAGCAATAGGTAAGCAGCCTGTAAAGACTGCAAACCCACCCTGATTCTTCGTCCTGGGTTACTGCCATTTAACTTTCTAGCCAATTCCTTCACTGGTTAGCCCATGCTTAGCTTCCTCCTGCGTTTGCTCCACTGCTATCAGCATTTACCGTAGCTAGTTTTAAACTAGCCAGGTCATGTCAGTGGGAGTTGCACTGCCATGCAAAGTCACGCCTCTGGACAGCAGTGATTGATGGCTGGACAAGCTGCACATAGGTAGAATGCCAAAGGAAAACAGAGTTGGTACAACTGCATGATGAACTGGATTTTAAACAAAGAGTCCTCCTGAAGCTATGCACTTGAATAAGACTGCAAGGCAGATACTCTGAACTCTGAAACTCCATTGCTGTACAGTGAGGAGAAAATCCCTGAGCAGCTTTCCAACAATGGAATCAAAAAACATTTTTTTGAAGAGTGTTTCTGGGATGTCTCTTGCCCCATTATCTCAGACTCTTTCTTATATCTACATGAAAAAAATGTGTCTTTGTCTGCCTCTCTGTAGAGAGACATACACATGGAGCTGGAAACATTGTTTGTCATCATAGAGATCCTTGCAACAATATGTCTGTGTTAACAGTTGAGGCCAAACGAAATAAGCAGGTATCCTGTCACTGATGTTATCACATCATAGGTGTGATGTTGCAGACAGGTATAGTGACAGACTCTGACTTGTGTAAAACATGTCTTAAGTGTGTGAATCAGTAAGTGCATAATGTGCAATCAAAACAATACAACTTTGAATTTTTACTCTATAGCATCCAAAATGGGGTGGACAGGGGTTGTGATAACATTATAGGGTTTTCCAGACTCTCAAAAGTTGAATTCCCTTTGGAGAAAAATGAAACAAAAATGCAGTCTCATACGCAGCAAGCAGCTAGTCCTAGTAGCTTGCCTGGATCTTCATCATCTGACACTCTCTTACCCTCTGGTGAGTTGGTGTACTAGAAATGTCACCGCTACCGTACATGCATCTGAGTTAGCACCTGCTGAAATGAAAGGGGCAATTCACAATTCAAATCTGATTTCAGGCTTTACAGAAGCTCAAGCCGTTATAGCTCCATCAGTTATACTTGAGTCACGATCGCAAAGATTTATTGGCAACCATAAATTTAGAGATTTAAGGCATATCTACCCAGGGAAATTAGCGCTTAGAAGGAAGGGTGTGGATTTTTAATGTGATCATTTTTGTGTGCTAACTCCCATTGAGAGATTTTTAACATGTGCTAAAACTGTTAACAGTATAAAATAATGTAACTTTACTCTGTAAGTGGAATACCTTACTTCATTTCTGGAGCACATGAAATAGGAAGGAGTTACATGGGGTAATGTGCTAGAAGTTCACATTACTGCACATTCACAGTTACTGCACACTAACTTCTTTATGTAACAAACTATTAGACCTTTTGATTTTAAGTATAAGTTTAGACACTGGAAAACAGCCAGAAGACATATCTGTGCATCTGCTGCTAGTCTGGTATGCTCCACACCTCGAGAAGCACCATCTAACCGGCTGACATCATTAGCATATGTATGCCTTCTTCCTCCATCCCAAATGTGCAGTCCTGTAAACCACAGCAAGCTGAAATTCTGGTATCTTTAATGCTGTTTGAAATCGCTAAATCACTGCCTCTCTCCTTTGTGTCCACACAAACATTAGGTAAAGGCACCAGTGTTCAGAAGTATGTTTAGCAGCTTGATCCATTTCCCAGGCTACAGCCTGCGCTTGGAGGGCAAAGATCCATTGATTGACCAAGGATGGAGAGGGAGGGCTCAGCAGAGCTCACAGGCTCTCAAGCAGCTTGCTGTGTAAGTATTCTATGGTTGGGTAATTTAAAACAAACATACAAACAAAACCACCAAAAACCCGTGCACACTGAAGTGAAGATGACTGCAATGTGCTCCTACTTATATTTTGCCTGAAATTAAGAGATTGCAGCTGTTGTGGAGTATGGTTGCCCATCTGTTTCTTACACGGTGGATGTTGCACATTCCTTCATCCCCGTGCTATCTGCTTTGGAGCGGTTGCTGGGAAAAAGAAGAGAGTTATTTCTATCTCTTATGGATCAGATAAGTTAGGAAGACTTCAGTGACTCATGTGTGTT